CCATCCATCCATCCATCCATCCATCCATCCATCCATCCATCCATCCAACCATCATCTTCCTCTTGTTCTATGAGGTCCAGACATCTCTTCCAGCTCTTCTGGGATGACTCCAAGGCGTTCCCAGGACATCTGAGTGACATAATCTCTCAGATGTCCTGGATCTTCTTCAGGGTCTCCTCCCAGTTGGACATGCCCAAAGCACCTCCCTAGGGAGGCGCCCAGGGAGCATCCTTACCAGATGAACCACCTCAACTGGTTCCTCTCGATGTGGAGGAGCAGCAGCTCTACTCCAAGTCTCTCCTGGAGAACTGAACTTCTCACCTTGTCTCTAAGGGAGAGTCCTACCCTGCGTAGGAAACTCATTTCAACCTCCCGGATCCACGATCTCATTCTTTCAGTCACCAGAGTTCATGACCACAGGTGAGGGGAGGAACGTAGACCGACCGGTAAACAGAGAGCTTTTCTTTGCCTTATTGCTCAGCTCCCTCTTCACCACAACGGACCGGCACAGAGTCCACAATACTGCAAACACTGCACCAATCCGTTCAATCCACGCTCCATTCTTCCCTCACTCGTGAACAAAACCCTGAGATACTTGAACTCCTCCACTTGAGAAAGAACCTCACCCTCGACCTGAAGAGATCAATCCACCCTTTTCCAACTGAGGACCACGGCCTCAGATCTGGAGGTGCTGGTTCTCATCTCAGCTGCTTCTCCTCAGCTGAGAACCGCTCCAGTGAGAGCTGAAGATCACGTCACGATGACGCCAACAGGACCACATCATCTGCAAAGAGCAGAGATGAATCCTGAGACCACTGATAAAAGTGTGAATAATGTTTTACATCAGTCAACCGACTGTAAATATTTAATGAGACAAATTCATATTTTTTGTTTGTATTTGTGTTTTATGATGTCACCTTGTTGCCTGAGAGCAACAGACGGATGTGGACATGTGACTTTTTATTAAATCTAAAATGTACAACGCAAAGAAAACAAGATAAATCTATTTTTTTTCGAGTTCTTGCTTTAAAAAAAATTGATGTTTCCAATTAAAGTTTTGTTTTTACATGAAATTATCAGATTGATTTATCCGGTACAGTATTGAGTCAAGGCAACGAACTTTCACATTAAGATATGGAGTTAATAATGATCTGTTCAAATGAAGGAAAATAAGAAACTCTACATTTCCTATGAGAAACGGCCATGTGGAAAACGATCAATCAATCAATAGAGAAACAACAGACTAATCCATATTCAATCTTTCAATCGCCTTCCTTCATCATGATCTTATTAGTTTAATGAACATGTTTTATTTTAGAGTTTGTAACTTATTGTAACATAAAAAGACTTTTAAACTTTATTAATACTTCACTTTAGTTCTAACAATCTTTTCTGGAGTGGTGTACGTTCAGTTTTTTCCTTAAGGAGAACAAATTGTGGTAAAACATCTAATCACTGTCATTTTATTTTGTTGAAGTGTGTGACTTTATTTTGAAAGTGCTTGCAGTGAGCTGAAGGTTCATGTTTCAGCTGCTGTAAGCCAAGAAGACTCATTCAGACTCTCTCTCTGCAGTGACGGGGTTTAAAACTCAGGGCTTCCTCAGAACTTGAAGGCAACAGAAAGTCTGGATCTTCAGCCTGCATTGATCAAAAATTAATGATAAGTGATCAGAAATCAGAAACCAGCCATGGCCAAATGGGGAGAAGGGGATCCTCGCTGGATTGTTGAGGAGAGAGCCGATGCCACCAACGTCAACAACTGGCACTGGTCAGTGAACCGCTCTTTAAATTTTTATTCTTGATGTTGAAGTTTTAGACTCGTTGAACGCCGCTCTTAATTTGATTCAAATCCAAATAACAAAAGATCAAAGAAGAAGAAATTTGATTTCAAACCAAACGTGAGAACTAGTCTTCATCACTAATTGTTTTTAACTCTAAACCTCTTATTCATGAACTTTACTGCTGCTCACGTTCTTCTTCGTGATGCAGGAAGGTTTTATTTTGAAAGTTGTAGTGGCTCCCTCACTTCCTGCTGGCAGCCACATAGTTCAATTAACCTCCGGCCATTAGGAGGGTGTGGCATTTATCAGATCTGTCATTGAGGTGGTTTCCATGGCAACAATAACTTCTGAAGCAGAAGAATCCTCCAGAATGATCAGTGTAATATATTAGGAGCAGCTATTTTGGTGCGTGCATGTGTGTGTGTGTATTATGTGACACTGCAGTCCAGCACATGTATGAGTTATTTTTAAAGGCTGTGACGTCAGAGGTGGGTGGGGCCAGGAACAGCTGAGAGTCTTAACTTGTCTTGTCCCTTCAGGACAGAACGGGATGTCTCTGCCTGGTCCTCAGAGCGTCTCCGTCAGCTTCTGCTCAGCGTCCAGGTGGAGGGACCCGAGGGGGCCTGTCAGCTGACCGACGTCAACAAACTGGAAGGAGAAGCTTCCATCAACAACCGGAAGGGGAAACTCTTCTACTTCTTTGAGTGGCAGCTAAAGGCTAGCTGGCTAGGTCAGTGATGTCACTGATGATGTCACCCATCCATCCAACATTCATCCATCCAACCTCGATCCATCCAACATCCATCCATCCAACATCCATCCATCCATCCATCCATCCATCCATCCATCCATCCATGCATCCATCCATCCAACATCCATCTCTGTTGTGTTTCTGCCTGCAGGTACTTCCTGTAGTGGAGTGAAGTACCGAGGAACTCTTGATGTGGCCAACTTGTCTGATGAGAACGACGAGGACGACCTGGATGTGAGTCAGACTCCTCATCCTGATGACGAAGCGCACAGATGAGAATACTAACGAGGATGCTTCTGTCCAGATATCAGTGTGTCTTTGTAAAGACCAGCCCAGCACACCACTCCTGGACCTAATGAAGAGGTCTGGGATTAAGGCGGTCCGCAGAGTTCTGGGAGAGTACGTCCGTGAGCTTAAATCAGGTCAGTTACCCACAATGCAACAGGTCCGCCCAGTCAGAGGACAGCTTTGAGTAATGATGATTTCTAAACAGATTTTAGTCAGGGGATGATCCTTCCCACCACTGATGGACAGAAGCTTCCTGCACCTGAGCTGACCACGAAGAACCAGGTCAAAACCAGCAAAACCCAGGTAGATCCCACCAGTGGTTCTGATCCATGTGCTGTTAATGCTGAGTGGACCTGACTCATAACCTCTCCGTGGTCTTCTTCAGATTAGCACTAATGTGAAGTGCTCGTCTGGCCCGGCTGCCTGTCCCTCGGGCGGTTGTATCAAAACCTGCAGCTTTAGCTTGAAGGAAACGTTCCAAACATCTGCTGATGAGCTCTACAGAACCTTCATCAACCAGGAGGTACCAGACAGAACATACACAAACGAACCTGAAACCTGGACAGAGGTCGTTGGCAAGGACAGTGTTATTGTCACGTTATTCTTGTGTTATCGTACTGAATGTGATGGATCCTGGCGAGTGGACGGATTTATCCTCCACCAGGAGCAGTGGAGGAGCCAGGGGGTGGCCAGTGGTGGCCTTGGCCCCCATAGATTAATCTTCATCACTTCAATCGTTTGGGAAGAAAAGCAACACAAAAACTAGAAAGCATAGTTTGTCAAATGATTGGGGTGGCTAGTTTATAGTTTAAAACGGCTGGTTATATACACGGTGGGGGCCATCTTGGATTTTGATGTGGCAACCCAGTTTTTCAAAGTGACATTTCTTACACCACACCAAAATGCAAGTCAGAATGTTTCTTATTTTTCAAGTTATAAATCTCAAGGCAGATGGACGTACATGGTGGCAGCCATCTTGGATTTTGGCATTGGAACCCAATTTTGGAAAGAAAACTTTCATACCGTAAGGTGCAGCCACACGCCAAAATATAAGTCGAGTTAAGACGGGATCTCAAATAATTCAAAACATTTTAAAAGTCTTAATCAGAAGATTAAATTATGGGATGTGGTAGTCAGACAAATCAGAGGTTCGTGGTGTGGACGAGTGAAGGATGGGAGGCAGAGCACCTGCAGGGAGAGCAGAGAGCTCACACTCAAGTCGTGAATGATGTAAACACGACAAGTCCAAAGTTGCCAGGTGTGTTACCGGATGCCTAATTAATAACTAATTAATTAAATACCTAATTAAATAGTTATCCAATTAATGATCTAGTTAAGCACAGTGTTGTTGTGAGGCGTAGCGTCAAGGCAGCGCTCTGTCTGCAGTTTGTGCAGGTGTTCACTCGCTCAGCAGCAACAGTGGACGGCCAGAGAGGGGGGAGGTTCCAGCTCCTGGACGGCAGCGTCAGCGGGGACTTCACAGAGCTGGTCAGGTCACGTGCACGCAGCCAATCAGATGTAAGGAAGTGTGAGTCGTGTCGTCGTGGTAACCAGACTGCTCTCTGCAGGTTCCAGACCAGAGGATTGAGATGAGGTGGCGCTTCAGGACGTGGCCCAGCGGTGAGGTCACATCCCTCGGCTGTTAATCCCGACTCTGACTCGGTGACTGATCTTTGAGGTTTCTCCATCAGAGCACTACGCCACCATCCGTCTGGAGCTGGAGGATCATGGAGATGAGACCGAGCTGAAGATGGAGTGTCGAGGAGCTCCTGCTGGTGAGGTGGAGACCACCAGGGAGGGCTGGAACCGGTTTTACTTCCAGGCCATCAAGCAGACGTTTGGATACTGATGGAGAGCCGGACCTCCAGTACCTGGTTCAGGATGAGACTTTAAAACCAGCAGCCCGACAGTTCCTCCATTTCCTCAGGAAGGAGATGTTTCTCTTCAAGAGATCAAACTCACTTTGTTTAACCTGCATGTGTCCGTCTTCTTCAGAGTTAGCTTCACCTGGAGAAACACTGAACAACATGAACGAATGATAAATGGTGGGATTATCCCTTTAATTCCTCTGTGTTGTTAAATTATTCTTTAATTAGTTTTTATTTTTGTTTGTTATTAAAAAAGTCCAATTAAAGTAGCAGCAGGTGTAGTATCCATCCATCCATCCATCCATCCATCCATCCATCCATCCATCCATTCATCCATTTGTCCATTCACCCATCCATCCATCCATCATCCTACCATCCATCATCCATTCATCCATTCATCCATTCATCCATCCATCCATCATCCATTCATCCATCCATCCA